AACCAGTATAGGATAAAAGACAATTCTGAATTCAAAATTAATTGGTGGCAACTCCATCTAGTAAAAACCTACTTATTACATAAAGAATGGCAGCAAAACCTAGGCATGGTCAGACCGCAGCCCTATGCTCCACGGGGTGGGGGGGTGACATGGAGGAAGAGAATTAATCATTAGCAACTGATTTTTGGGGACTTTAACTGAAGTCCTGGCAAAAAAGTTTCTGATAATATTTAAAAAGAAACCTCCATCTACAGAAAGAGTGAGAAAGACATCAGCTGAAATGTTGGGTTAAAAATAAAGATGTTGATACTGGTTCAAATAATTCATGGATAGCAGAGAAAATTATCCAGAGAGAATGTTGAATACGATTCAAATGTTTCATTTTGTTTAGTAAAAATAGCAGAAGTTATTTGATTTTAAAAGCCTTATAAAATGTTACATTAACCCAATGTCTGTGCTGACGTTTTTTTTTTTTTTTTTTTTTTTTTTTTTTAGAGGTTCTGTATTAGAATATTCATGAACTTTTTAAATTAAAGTATATAGTTATTAACCTTAGATTGTTCTGACACAAGACCGATTCATAAATAAATTTCCCCCTTAAATTGAATCATTTCTTTTACAATATCAGAAAAACTGTTTTTCTGCAAACATTTGAGAATAGATCTGCAGTATGATTTGAAAGTGGGTTGAATCAATAAAACTAAATCACTCAGGGATTTGGAAAAAAAAGCTGTTGGTCACAGAGGAGCATTAAGTTAGTTATGTTGCCTCAGTACTGCAAATTTAAGATATTGGTCAAAAATTATTTTATTGCTGGTGGCAAAAATTAAAAACTGGTTTCTGTATTCACTGATGGAAAACAGAGAAAATCTGTTTAGAAACATGTACATCACAACACAATAAAGAAAAAACAGTTTTATTCTTTATAGTTTAATAAATTTGATTTTATTTATTAACATAAAGCATAAGTTGTTTTATATTGCAATTTCTATTGGTAACAAAAAATATGCAAATGTTCAAGTTATCAAAGTATTAGTTACCATATTAAATATATATTAGCTTAATTTCTTTACTTGATAAATTTTTGCTTTAAAACATAATAAAATTTGTGGTTTATTAATGTATTCACCAGGGGAAGCATTTACATTTACCTATTTTCCATTTTACTATAAAAAAATGTTTTAGGTTTTGGTTAATAAAAGTTTACAAGTTGATTGTTATATTTATTGGCAATATTTTAGATATATTTAAAATTCAAAATGGCCACCCTTTCCTTTCACTATAGCTCTTAATCTCTTCTCAACTGAAGTGCATGACTTCTTTGCCACCTCTTCACTCAAATTATACATGAGATGATTTCTTTTCATGTCTGACACACTTGTGAGATATGTGAAATGTCACTTTTCAATATGGATCATATTGCAAAGTCCATATAGTTAATTTTAGAGCTTGAAGAAAGCCAAACTGACTTGCCAAAAAATCCACAGAAATTTTTCTTGTATGAATTCTGCATTAAATTGTCTGTTTGTGCAGGATCTTCATTGTGAGTGAAGGCATAGAAACTTCCAAATGTATCTGACAAATAGAGCAACAGATCTCTAACATTTGCTAGTAAACTCTGCTATTCACTTTTACTCTTTCTTCAATGCACATCCAGGGGCAATTTTGAAACTTCAGAAGAAACAGCAGTTCAAAACATGACCCAGTTGGTTTCTGTTGCTTGAAATCTGTTCTGACACATCCAGGAATGTTTATAAGTGAATTGGCATAAACCCTATCATCTTAGTATTTGACCATATCCTCCATAGTGAAAATGTTGCCTGACCAAATGAAGACTGTCTATGGCACACTGCATCTCCTCCAACATTTTCTTCCCTTTGGCACTTGAGAGCAGTTGTCATTGTTGTTGAATCTTGTATGGTTTTAACTCTAAATCCTCTTTTGCAATCCTTTTTAGCAACCTATCTGAAATATCTAGCACTTTTGCCATTTTTCTCATGTTTCTTTGTAGATTTTTCTTCATCCTCTTTTTGATGACTTCAATGACTCTCCTAATACAAACTGAACAGTTTCTTCCTGGGCTCGGATTTGGTGTTTGCTCTTCTTGAAACCTTTTCTGCACATTAAAAAAGTTGCAGCTGTTTTATCACCTCAGTTCTTAATTTCAGCTATTTGAAATGCAACAAATTGATTACATTTTGTTTGATTAATTGGACTTTTTTTTTAAGCAGTATATCAACTTCTATGGGTTATTTAATGCTGAAATCTAAATATTTTAAACATGTCCTTATGGCTTCAACTACAGATAAAATGTATTGTTGGTAATTCTACTATAAATAGGTATTGTTAGTAAATTTAAAAAAAAATGTGTTACTGGTATTTTTACCCTAAACATGTATTTTGATAGTCCAGTTTTTGTTTGTAAGTTTACAATTTGCCCATAGCTGGGACCCTAACAGGTGCTACCACCCTGGGCCAGGGTGCACCTGGAAACAGTAGCAATTAAGAGATGGTTCCATGCTCCTCATAACCTCCAATCTCTTGATTAGAACCCTTGCTGCCAGATGTAGTTTATTGTTATACCCAGTATTAACAGTTTGTTTGAGCCACCATAAAGTGTTAACAATAAAACAAAAGAAGCCTTATGCAAAATTTTAAACTATTTTTTTTTTTTTTTTTTTTGATTAGTATGTTTCATTTTCTGTTTAAATAATAGGTAAATATTTAAGATGCACACAGTAGCTAAGTTCTGCAGATTCCTTTGTTGGGCCACAGCCTCACCCAGTGTTGCTTCTATGGTTTCTGCAGCAAATAGTTTCATGGGGGTAATTGGCAGCCCCATGCCTGACTGGCTTTGAACACTAAGTTGTTCTTCCCCTAGACTAATTTTCGAGTTATCTATTAACCTTGAGGTATTGAAGAGATGGATTCATACCCTTCCAAGAAGCAAGAAGTTTTTTTACTGTTTTGCTGCAAGCGTGTCTGCTGTATGATTTCAAAGTTGACTGAATCAATAGACAAAATCCCATAGGCATTTTGGCAAAGGAAATGTTGGTCACAGAAGAGCTTGTAAGTCATTCTCATTGTCTTGGCACTGCAAATTCAAGACACTAGACAAAAATTGGATGACCATTGGAGCTGACTTAGTTATTTGACTGCCAGTGGTAAAATTTGAAAATTGGGTTTTGTATTGACTGATAACCAACAGAAAAAATCTGTTAGATAAACATGCATTTTTATTAAGTGTGTGTATGCATGACTGGACACCATTACCTGTGATGGAAATTGTATACTGACATGATATGCAAAGCTGAATAGAAAAGGGTCATGATTAGTCATACCAAGCCGGACAGTTCCACTAAAAATAAGCTTATGTTTTGTTGTTGGTTAAATGTATAACATATTATTTGCAATATTTGAATGATGAAAAAAATATTCAAAATCTATACTTGTTGCATGACAATATTTTTGCACATGTGGCAGAAATGAACTATGAAAAGCTTGTTAGGTTTGAAAATTTCATGCATCTTCAGTGAATGTTGGACAATTTCCTCAAAGATGAAGAGAATTGAATCAACAGAAATGTAGTCTGAGAATACTATGGATCGAACATCTGAGCAATGACTAAGTTTTAAAGAAAATGAAAAGAAAAAGTAAACTTATATTTAACATCAGGAAGAGATAGTTGAAATTTCTAGGGCATATAATAAGGAAAGGGAGCTTGGAAAATGTGATACTCACAGGACAGATTGAAAGAAGTACAGAGGAAAACAATGCATAACATATTTAGTGAGCTTCAGTAAATGGGGAATAAGGTTTAGGAGAAATAACAAAAAGACAAAATTTATTAAGAGCTATGAAAGAAAGGAAATTGTGGAGTACCATGATCGTCTACGTCATGAAAGGACACAACACATAAAGAAGACTTGGTGCCTATGAATTATCACTTTTATTTCAATTCCTGCAAAATTTTTCTGAATCATTCCACTTTGCAAAATGATGTTTTCAAAATGGCTTGATTCTATTGCAAAAGAATTTGATTTACGCACATATTCATAGAAAATGAAAGATGAAGAATAATTTGTTTCATTCATTTTACTGTTAAGACAAAATGTTTTGAAACATTCTTACACCACACACACACACACACGTAAGATGGGATACATAAAAACCAGTTGTATATTATAAAAATTTTTATTACCTTCTCAACATTTCACTACTTTCATGAGAACGTTATCAAAACATAACTGAATGAAATCTCAACAAGGAAATAAAAATTTTAAGCATTCAACTGGTTTTTCATATATTCCATCTTAAATACTTTTAGATATTTCATGTTAGTTATACATACATATATATGAGTGTGGATGTGCAGGTTAGGAATGTGAATTCAGCAAGCCAAGTTCAAATCCCAGTTGTGTTAATTGCATTCACTTTTGTGCAAGTACCCTTGGTAAAGTTATGAATGCATCACTTCTTTCTCCAGCTATGGGTTAAATAGCAGAACAGATTTGAATCTCTAGCTGTGGTTGACAACAAGTCTAGTAGAAGGATAGCTCTTAATTCAAAAACTGTGCACCATTAACAAGATTATGGAGTTCACAATGGCTCTGTAATCTCTACTTTGAATGACCTATGACTGCATTTATATTATTATGGTGTCTACTTGCGTGTTTTTCTCTTTTAATATTATTCACAGTGATTTATTGGCCTGATGGATATTTATATGACATTGTGCTTTACTCAATGTAAGGAAATGTTCTTACATTTTATCCTAAAGAAATCTGATTAATATTGATTAAATGTAACAGTTCATAATCGCAAACAAAAAAGAAATCCTTAATTTACATCAACAAAGTTAGAAGGGGTTTATCCATTTATGAATGTTTGCCAAAAATTATAAGATTTTCATAAAGTTTTTCACACAATGTTGTTGTATGAAGAATGAAAATATTTTTCTTGATATAACTCTCATTATAGCATAAAAATATCTATCACATATGTTTTTACTTTATTCACTTCTTTTTATAAGTTGTGTGTCTATATCTATCTATCTATCTATCTATCTATCTATCTATCTATCTATATATATATATATATATATGTGTGTGTGTGTGTGTGTGTGTGTATGTATTTAGGCAGCAATCCTTCTTTCATGCACATTTCATTGAATACGACAGACAAGGTGCTCTTATTTAGTTTTTTTATACAATTTCTCATGCGAGCTAATAATTTTTTTCTTTTCGGATGATGAATTATATAAAAACTATCCAAATGTTCTTTTTATCCAAGTGTTTCGGCTATACATTTAGTCATTTTCAAGGATTAAATATTTTAATTGTTAAATAAGAAATAGTTTGTTGTATGTTTTATAAAATGCTTTCATTTTTCAAAGCACAGTCAAGACCTTGTTCAAAGTTAATATTATTAAGTGTTGGTTTTTGTCTTTATTAATAAGGCTTCCATTATTTTTAACCTTTTTTTGTATGTAGATGATGCTATTATATTTGTGTTGTCAACAAGTATGTTACGAATAGTATCTGGTAGGTCTCCATGAATATTTAAATGAGATCTAATTGAGCTATGGTCAGAAAGGTGTAGAGTGAGTCTGCGTGTCAAACATGTTGTAGCGTGGCCTATATAATTATTTACGAATTTTGATTGATCAGGAATACAATTACTTAATGGGCATTTAAATTTGTAAATAATATTTGCTCTATTTAATTTTGTTCTAGGAGGTGAATTATTATTTTTAACTATAAGGTTAGAGGTTTAAAATTTTTTTGTCTGTTGTATTCAATGAAATATATATATATATATATATATATATATATATATATATATATATATAAGACCTGGGTTCGAATCTCACCATGGATGATATTTATGGAAAGCAACTTCCTGACATCACTGGAATGGATTGAGGTTGATCCCAGCATGCAGCATCTTTGGAATGTGCCTGAAAACCATACCACAGGTTGACCCAAGCTTTGTGAGTGAAATTGGATAGGCGGAACTCTTGTGGGCTGTCGATAGCTGTGCTAGCACAAGACCACAAGTCATCATGGCTGAGGGCTTGAGTGTGCTGGCCTTGTTCAAATTGTTGATCATGCTAACATGCTCTTTCCCAGAAACTGTAACTAAGGTCTACTCAGCATAGTTGTAGTATAAACCACAGGTGGGATCTGTAGGTGTTGAGGAAACACAAAATGTGCCTGAACAAGTGTCTGCAATAGGGATTGGCTTGCCAACATAGTAGAAAAGCATCCTTGAATACGAGTGGCCAGCTATTATCAAATATATATGGAATCGTATTTGTAAATAAATAATTATATATATATATATGGTTGGATAGATGTGAGTTTGTGACCCTGGGTTTCACGCTTTAGCAATCGTCAGACAAACTATGTTAGCTCTATCTCTGATATTGAGCGCTTTTAATAAGTACCATGATATATAATATATAAATAATTATACATATATATATTTATTTATATTTATATACACTTTTCACACACATATATATATATATATATATATATATATATATATAAAATTTTATTTTATATGCATAGTACTCAGTGGAAAGCATTCAATATCAGTGATAGAGCTAACATATTCAGTTGTATGGATGTGAGTTTGTGACCCTGCATTTGACACTTTTTCAATCATAAGATAAACTTGTTTATTTTTTAAAATTTGATCTATTTATGCTTGTTTGACTATGTTTGGTGGTGGAGGGGGAATTTACTTTTGTGTTTGTTTGGGGTAACACTCTCATATACATAGACACACATACACATAGGTGTATGAATTTTGAACTCTGTGTATGTATATATATATATAAAGGGGTTGGACAAAATAATTGGAATAGTTGCAAAATTCACTCCTATATTTCAAAGACTTATTATATTAAGAACTTTTAAAACTTTGTAATTGCAGGTTATATCTATTGTAAGTACATTTATTTATCTAATTTACTATCTTATTTATTTTTAGAATTTAGTAAAATTTAAGCTAAATGCGTGTCCTCTCTGAGTTTGAAAAAGAGCAAATTGTTGGAGCTTGTATGGCAGGAGCCTCAATCACTAAGGTTGCTGAACTGTTTGGTTTTTCAAGGGCTACCATATCAAGAACACTGATGCAATTCGACAAACAGGGCAAGACCTCTAGCAACTGTAGCAATTCGGACTGGACTTGCAAACTTACTGACAGGGACTGACATGCATTGAAACACAATATGGCAAAAAATCATAAGACAAATGCAGCCAAAATGACTGCTGAGTTGAATAATCATCTGAATAGTTCAGTTTCTACTAAAACTGTTCACCGTGAGTTCCATAAAGCTGCATATCATGGAAGAGCCACTGTGAGGAAACCACTTCTCTTGACTTCCAACATTTAAAAGAGGTTGAAGTGGTGCAGAGATCACAATGCCTGGTCTACAGACCAATGGAAGTAAGTCATAATCTCAAACAAGTCCAGTTTTTCTCTTTTCCCAACTTCAGGGCAAGTTTATATGTGAAGACAGCCCAAAGAAGCTTACAACCCTGACTGCCTTCTTCCACCAGTGAAGCATTGAGGTGGATCAGTGATAGTTTGGCCCGCCATATCATAGAAATGTCTCAGTCCAATAGTTACCTTGCATGGTAGAATCAACAGCAAAGATTACCTGAACATTTTGGGAGATCATGTTCATCCAATGGTCAAGACTTTATTCCCTGATGGTGACTGCATCTTCCAAGACGATAATGCTCAAATACATACCGCTCGAATGGTTAAGAATTGGTATGAAGAGCATAAAAGTGAGCTAGAACACATGGAGTGGCCTCTCCAATCTCAAGATATCAATATTATTGAACATTTGTGGTGCATTTTGGAGCTACAAGTTAGGAGCTGCTATCCTCCACCGCCATGCCGTAAAGAGCTTGAGAAGATTTTAATGGTAGAATGACTGAAAATTCCTCTGGATGAAGTCAGGAAGCTGTATGATTCCATTCCTAGATATATTAAAGCTGTCTGGGAGGCTAAAGGAGGACCAAATCCATATTAAATTTTTTTTTAGTGTTTTTCTTTGAATTTAACAAGTGTTCCAATTATTTTGTCCAACCCCTGTATATTCAGTTGTATAAATATTAGTTTATGACCCTGGGTCTCACACTTTTGCAATCATCAGACAAACTCTCTCTTCATATATATATATATATATATATATATATATATATATCTACTATCTATATTTCTCATGTTGTCTGTCTGTGTGTCTGTCATGGGTGTTGTTACCTCGCCCAGGCCACATTTCTCACCCAATTTTGATGCATTTTTCAACACAAGTTTGCAAATGGTTGCCATAAGGACGTGACGGAGCCTGATTTTTGAGTTCGGAATCAGGTTCCGAAAAAATCGATAATCGAAAAAATCGATAATAGAAAAAATTCTGCTTACAGAAGGAATGATCGCATTTCAACCAAATTTGACACCCTCTTAGAGCCTACCGTTAGAAGTGTTGTCCAGAATTTTCATGACCACAGACCCCTAAACAGCGTGGAAAATCGATAAAACCCAAAAACCGATACGCCCAGATAGGGTCTGAACCGCATGTCGGTTTTTAGCAAAAACCGAGTGGATTTATGAAGAGGCCATTGGGAGTCATCATGTGAAGTTTCAACTCTGAGCACCCCCCAAACAAAGTGCAAATCGACAATTGGTCAACCATTAAAAATGTTTTTTCCGGTTTTTTAAAGCTGATCGTATTGTGTTTATGTTGTTTAGTTCTTTTTTCGTAACAGATTTAATGTTTACTATAGAGCTTAGAAAAAGTTGGCAGTGTGAGATAGGCAAGAAGTAAGGCATGTAACAACATCAGCACGGCAAAAGGCACTCCTCTAAAGGCAAGGAAGGGCAAAAATATTTTAAGTCAAGTGATAGCGATTGCTGTATTAGTCATACTATTTTTTAATCAAGTCATGGGCAACGCCGGGCCATGCTGCTAGTATATATATATATATATATATATATATATATATATATATATATATATATATGGTTAAAAAATAAAATTTTACCTCTTAGCTGATTGATGTTAACTTCAGCATCCTGATTCCAGAGTTTCGTAGGTGACCCCATGCATCTACTCTTTCAGGGGACATCAGCAATTTATGCATAGACAAAACCAGTAGACAACTTGTGCCTATTATATTTAATGATCTTTTCTTTTCTACTTAAAACTCATTTTATCTTCTCTTTTCACATCCCTTCTGATGATGACCTATGTGATCCAAAAGCTTGGGACTACACAACATGAATTTTGGCCAACTTATCCACACACAATTGCATTTACGAAAGGATATTTATACATTAGAAAAAAGATTATAAAATATAATAGACACAAAATGTCAATCATTTTTAACAATGTGTTCAAAATGTTTTGCTGCATGAATATACTGAATATGTACACACACACACACACACACACACACACACACACACACACATATATGTGTCTGTGTGTGTATGTTATTCCATACCTAATTATTTAATAGTCTTCAGGAAACCATCTTAGATTTTAATGAAATTTTAATTAACACCTTTTCTAGAAAGAATAATCTTGAAAATATTCCTTTTGATCAAACAAATGATTCAGAAGTTATGGCAAGTTGAAAATTGCCTAAATTGACATAGCATGAGTCACAAACATAATTTTGCCAGTTTTGGTGCATAAGGACATAAAGCTGACATTTTGTATCCCTATAGTTTCCACCCAAATGAACCATTTCTGCCCTCATTTTAGTTCTCTTATTAGTTTGGAAGTTATATAGAAAATATTAGGGAGCAAGGAGAATAGAAGAGTAATCAAGAAGATAAATAGCAATTGACATTGAATTTAAATATTTGAAACTCAAAATTGACTGGAAAGCATGAAGCTGGCAGAGAAATCCACAAGTGAGAAGTCTGAGTAAAGAAACTCTCAGCATAGAACTTACAGTTAAATGTAGCCAATTAATGAAACCTTGCTGACAATCTAATACTGCACTTAAAGTCATGGTGAAGAGTTCATCCAAACAATTATCAAAAAACTATTTATAGAAAAAGAATAGTGAAGCAAC